TTCCGTTTAATCCGAGCGGCGAGTTTCTTCGCATCGATCCATCTTTGCAGGGCTCGGTGCTTGCCTGTGGTGTTTGGACGAGGAGGGTGCAGCACTCCCCCCCCGCGTCGCCCGCGGTTATCTCCCTTCTCCCGCGAACGGTGCTTACTCGCGTGGTTTTTACGAATCTCTCTGCTCCTCCAGCTTCGTGGGCCACGTTTTCCGCGACGGTGGTTACCAGGTGCAGTTTGCCGCTTTGCATTGCTGCCGCGGGGACAAGGTCCACATACACCTCTCGCCACTACCACCGTCTGTGCATCCTCACCGCCACGCTGAGCCAGCGCGGCGGTGAGTTGCACCTTGGGACACCACCCACCTACTATCTGTTGTGGCCTGGTTCGCCCGCGAGGGACTCACAAGGTCGATTTCGGCCCCGGCCGGGGAGCAGGCCGGGGAGGGGAGGAGACGGAGGAGGTGTGTGCATACCGTATATGACACAAGATGACACACCCCCTGGACCGATCTTCAAAACTCGATTACACCACAACGAAGAGGATTCACAAACGAAACGATACATTGCCGAAAAGCTCCCGACCAGACAGTTTCAACGCCGCCGTTGTCGACGCTGTGACTGTTCCTGCAGTTGAGAAATCGAGCTTCGAAAGTTGAAAATTGGTCAAGGGGGTGTGTTATCTTATGTCATATACGGTAGGCGGGCCGCTCTGTCGCTTTCCGATGGTTGCACCGCATCCTACACGTTGCAGTGGAACGGTATGATAGCACCCGAATTCACATGCCAGCTTGCCAGCTAGCACCACTCATTTTGCACCGTGCACTGCGTAAATAGCAATCGATACTGGCTAGGCAGTCTGATCGAAGCGGTGTGTGCGCCATGCGGACTGCGGCTGGCCTTCGCGTGGCGATAGGGTGCCTTGCCGTCGGCCTACGGACCAGGATGGTTGCGGAGGGCGAGCTTGTGCTGCTCGTCACGCTCACCAGGCACGGAAGCCGCGTAAGTCATGTCTCTTGCTCTCGCTGGTCTTGATCCGATCGTGTTCACCTGTACATGAGAGCACACACGATGCCGGAGTGCCTAAAGCTGCTACCAGGCAGCAATGGCTTACGCAACTTTTTCAGCTGTTTGATGCTCTCAGTANGCTGAAACTCTGTACAGTTTCAGGTGTCTGTGTGCCAACAGAAACACCAAAATCTCTGTATTGACCGCATCAGAGCTTCGGATGTGCCGCAGGTTCGTTCTTAGATTTCCTGCTTTATTTTGTGATATTGTACTTCGTCGTACATAGTCTAGTGCCCCCCCCAGCCGCTCTCTTCCGTAGTGCGACCAAGGGTAGCAAGGTTGCTGATGCAGAGTGTTGCAGCGCCCCTGCTGTTGGTGTACGTAACTTGATTTTGAATCACAACGTTGGGGAAAACGCAGTGGCCCGCGTGCTTGTTTACAGCTGGACCACATGTTTGCCTCTCTTGTGGTGCCCTTCCCGGGGTGGTCGGGGGGGTTGAGTGTACTGGTTGGCACCAACAGTGCTGGCCTCCTTGTATGCAAGCGGTATCTCACCGCTCTCTTCATNATTTTGTGATATTGTACTTCGTCGTACATAGTCTAGTGCCCCCCCCAGCCGCTCTCTTCCGTAGTGCGACCAAGGGTAGCAAGGTTGCTGATGCAGAGTGTTGCAGCGCCCCTGCTGTTGGTGTACGTAACTTGATTTTGAATCACAACGTTGGGGAAAACGCAGTGGCCCGCGTGCTTGTTTACAGCTGGACCACATGTTTGCCTCTCTTGTGGTGCCCTTCCCGGGGTGGTCGGGGGGGTTGAGTGTACTGGTTGGCACCAACAGTGCTGGCCTCCTTGTATGCAAGCGGTATCTCACCGCTCTCTTCATGCCCCCCTTCCACAAACATGTACACCACTCCATTTTTCTCCAGATATTGGCGGCTCTGCAGGTGCTCGGCAAGGGCAACTGCTTCGACGACGTCGAGCAGCTGTCGAAGATGAGCAAGTCGATGGCACAACCTACGTTCCACAAGTTCTGCCGTCACTTTGCGGCGGAGATGTTCGACGAGCACATCTACCTCCCGACCGGGACATACCTGGACGAAGTTATGGGAATCTTTCACCAACTAGGGTGGACGGGAGCGTGTGGGTCCACGGATGTCACCCACATTGGCTGGAACATGTGCCCCTTCACCCTTGGCCGTTCTTTCACGGGCAAGGAGGGGTTTCCAACCATCGCCTACGATGTTACGGTCGACCACGATGGACGCGATTTAGCGGTTACCAACGGCTTCACCGGTGCGACGAATGACAAGACGATCATCCGGTACGACTCGGGAGTCAACAAGATCAGAACAGCGAGCCAGTACACGGAACGGGAGTACAAACTTCGCAAGGCGAACGGCACCAAGCGAATGCGCCGCGGATGCTTCTTGATCGTGGACAACGGGTACCACGAGGTAAGTCGGTGTTGCTTTGATAGGCCTTCAAATATTATAGGCAGTTAATTGTAGTCGCTGCGTTTTCGGACGCTCGGGATCTTTTTCACATGTACTTGTTGCCCCCGTTACACGTGTGAGAACACGCACACACATGAGTCTGCGCATCAAAGTCGGCGCCCAATAAACCCTGATATCCTCATTCACGCGGAGACTTTCGTATCACAGGATGTCCGTCCCCAAGTACTTATGTGTAGTCCACCACAAGAATATCGTGGGAAAGCTCCCTTCGAGCGAGAGGGTGCTGATTTGGGTGCGGAATATCTGAAAGCCATGCACAAACAANTTACACGTGTGAGAACACGCACACACATGAGTCTGCGCATCAAAGTCGGCGCCCAATAAACCCTGATATCCTCATTCACGCGGAGACTTTCGTATCACAGGATGTCCGTCCCCAAGTACTTATGTGTAGTCCACCACAAGAATATCGTGGGAAAGCTCCCTTCGAGCGAGATGGTGCTGATTTGGGTGCGGAATATCTGAATGCCATGCACAATAAAATGGGGCTTAGCATACAAGGCAGGTGCAGAGGGTTTGGAGCAACACCACAGCCTATCTTGTTGCACAAACTTCGAAGTACGTGCTGGTAGTGCACAGAGAGTTCCACTTGTGAGCCGTACTCGCTTAAACTGACCGTTCTCGTTTTTGGTTCGTTCGGCCCCTGTGTTGTGTCTATTTCGCGTGTACACCAGTGGGTAACCCTCATCGCCCCGTCCAAGTACCCGCAGCGCAACGAGGATACAGCCTTCTCAAGGGATCTTGAGAGTGTGCGAAAGGATGTGGGGTGCTTCAGAATCCTCAAGCTCCGCATGCCATACCATAAACGAGAGTACGTCGACAACATATTCTTCACATGCTGCATCCTGCACAACATGCTCCACACGTTCGACGGCCTGGACGTATTCGAGGAAAACACGGACTGGACAGGCAGCGCCGGGCACCACGACGCCTGGGAGCATGACCCGCTCACAGACTACACTTCTGTTGGGTCGAAGGGAGTGCTGCTGCCACCGAAGGAGGGGGAGAAGGCAGAGTGTGGGGAGGGGGGGCACGTGAGAAAGGAGCGGCACCCGGACCATGCAGAGTTGAAGAGACAGCTAATCGAGAGTTTTGCTTTTCGTAAGAAGATCAACGACATCACCTGGTTGTCGCGTCCCAAGTAAAGAGTTTATGCATGTGTTCGAATTTGCCTTCATCCCGACTCAGTGTCGTGGGGTTGTACGGTTGAACCGGATGCGCAGAGCACAAACCATGCAACCCCATGGTGATTGAAAGGTTGTTTTGTACGGATAGGTCTAACGTTGTAGGTTACATTTGGACACGACGTCGGCGGCGTTTTTCGTCTCTGTTTTTTGGGGCCTTTCGGGTAGGTAGTCGCTAAAAAATATATATCGAGGGAGCCAAGCAAGGCATCGTCGCAGTTAATGGCTGTTCAGGGCATTTTTTGTTTCTTCTGTAACGGCACAAACCCCTTCGACGTTTTTGGCGCTAGAAGAGTCGTTCGCCTCACCAACGCTCGACAAAGTATTCCTACCGTTGATGCTTGGCCGAGCGGCGTTACAGCTAGAAAACATTTCGAAACATGTCTTGTTGCACTCACGCAGACACTGTTTGAATTAGTACAGATTTTTCACGCATCCAGGCTCTTACCTAAAAAGGAAGCTCCCCCCCCTCCCCCCCCCCCGAAACTTGCACCAAGCTCACATGGACGCTGTTGAATTGGTCGAGATTTTCACGCACCCGGGTTGTTGGTGACAAATCCCCCCCCCCGCGCGATGTTGGACCCTTCATATCCCTGCGTCATGTCACGGCTAAACGACGAGGAATCACGGCGAAAAGCACGAGAAAAACAGCCAGACAAAGTTATAGCCACACAGACTCAGTTGCCTCCAACCCTGATGTCGCCTGCCTCGGCGCCCGATGCTCTCGCAACTGCCGTGGCATCACCCGTTGCTGCTGCATGGGCGAGCCCTACGTTGCCGCTGAAACCGGGCAAGCCCAAACCTCCAACGCCCGTTCCACCGCCGACCGAAGCGATTGCAGCACCCGCTTCAGCATCGCCAATCACACTCGAAGGGGGGGCTGCGGCACATGCGAGGTCAACGGGGGGAAGCGGCTCGACAGCTGCACAGGGCGGGATATCATACAGACATTCAAGATCGGCCTCAAGCGCAAGATAATCCTCTGTCCCTTCCTTGCCCCGCTTCTCCCACAACTGAGCTTCCTCTCCTTCCCGTCTATCGTCCGCATGTGACGCTGACCCGCCGCCTCCTCCTCGTCGAGACGCCCTTTGGCCACGACCGCCTTGGTGAGCACCGCCACGCTCGCACAAAGCTCTCTTGCGGACTTGGATTCCGGTTGGGGGGCTGTTTCGTTCTCCACCAACTTGCGTGTCCAGTCCTGCATTTCCTTCTCCTTCTTCGCCTTCGAATTCTGAGCATGCACCTCTTTTTTTAATTTTTCCCGGCTGGCGAAACCACCGATGCCCCCGGCCCCATCCATCGTCTGAAGACCGCGCTTACCCAAGGGGCCGTTGCTGGTGTCGCTTGTCTCCTCGTCCGACGTCCTAGAGGGAGTCGGCGACGCAGAGTGGGCGCGACGCCCCTGCTTCCCGGGGCCGGTAGACATGGCCACCTTGAGGTCAATGTCCTCATGCTTGCCCGCGGGACGGCAAAACAACGCGAAGACAAGGCTGTAACTGTGAACCTATCCTGATGGCCTCGTTAACTTATCGTCGTCTTCGGCGTCCTCCGGTGCTTCCCCCCCCTCTCCCCGCTTCTCCTGCTTAATGCTGGGGTGTTTTTCAGCCGCCATGGTCAACGCCGCTCGTTTCACCATCTAATTGGGGCGATCAGCCGAATCCGTCGCGGTTTCATACCCCAAGGCAACAATCTTCGCTTCTAGCTCTGCTGCTCGAGTGTCTGGCGCCGGCGTCGACGCTACCTCGCCGTTGGCCCTTTGCTCAGCTTCCCACGCGGCCGTCTGGGAGGCCACCCACCTCACCGCGGCCGCGGACTCGACCGTAGTCGACGCGGCCGCGGACTCGACCGGAGAACCCCCTTCTTCGTCATCTTTCGCCTTCACCTCGTCCCCCCCCTCGCCCGCGCCGTCCAAGACTACGGGTGTCTTCTTGTTCTTCGCGTTGGCTGCTTTCTTCTCGGTGGCCCTTTTGGCGTTGTTTTTTTCGACGATGTAGAGCTGGTCTTGAAGTTGGCACCACTGGTCTGGGGGCTGCTGTCCTGACGGGAGCTTCTTGTCCGGCCCCAAAAGGCTAGATTGCACTCAAGGGTCGGGGGGCATTGGCCAACAATAATTTGAAAAGGTCTGAAATGTCCTTACTTCGTCATCATTTCCAGATGTGTCACGGAATTTTGGCCATGATCTCTGTGATGAGGAATTGGTGCACACGGACGTAGACATGTCGCTCTCGAATGTCAGAAAACTTCCTTCCTGCTGATACTTGACTTGCTTCTTGTGGATACTCTCTCGTGACTCAATGTCTAAAACTTCATCATTTCGGTCAACACGAACAGCAATCGTCTCATAGGCACTGTAATGCAATATTTTTGGTTTCGTTATCGGTGCATCTAGGTTCGGTCGTCAGAAACTGGGATGCAGTAGGTGACACACTCGCAGCGCAATTCNAAACTTCCTTCCTGCTGATACTTGACTTGCTTCTTGTGGATACTCTCTCGTGACTCAATGTCTAAAACTTCATCATTTCGGTCAACACGAACAGCAATCGTCTCATAGGCACTGTAATGCAATATTTTTGGTTTCGTTATCGGTGCATCTAGGTTCGGTCGTCAGAAACTGGGATGCAGTAGGTGACACACTCGCAGCGCAATTCAGGAGAGGAGACCCTGGCCCGTCGTACAGCAGTGTATGTCTCCTTCACCCATACCTACAAGTCTTTCTGCTCTAGACAAAAAGCGGGTCTGTGCGCTGAAAAACAGTCTGTCTGGGCTGATGCTGGTAAATTACACCCGAGTGCAGAAACAGCGAAGGTGCCGTCAAATGCTTCGGGACATACGCCCAGGGCGAGAGAGCGGGGCAAGAAGCAATGTCAAAAAAAGGGCTCACCTGTCCCAGATGTGATTGAAGTCTCTCCGGATCTCACGAGCAGCTTGCAAATACTTGGGCCACAAACCGGCCTGGGTGTATAACTTCAGCTCTGCGCGAAAGTCCAGCAGAGACACAGCAGCGGGGAGGGTACGGTTAATCTTTTCATTCGTACCTCAGGTCTACGCGAAGACAGATCAGACTACTGCTGTAGACTGAGCCGCGCCTCTAAAAGCCAGTCGTGTTGTTATGGGCACAACACGCTGTAGACTGAGTCGCGCCATTAAATTCATGTCTCAGGTCTACGCAAGAGCAGAAAGAATACTATTGCTGTAAAGTGAACCTCGCCTCCTATTGAACTCCATTCGTGTTGTTTTGGACACAACTCTCAGCGCAAGATAATTGTAGTATCTACTGCTGCGTGTGTGAATGCCACCTCAGACTGTAGTCTCANCACAGCAGCGGGGAGGGTACGGTTAATCTTTTCATTCGTACCTCAGGTCTACGCGAAGACAGATCAGACTACTGCTGTAGACTGAGCCGCGCCTCTTAAGGCCAGTCGTGTTGTTATGGGCACAACACGCTGTAGACTGAGTCGCGCCATTAAATTCATGTCTCAGGTCTACGCAAGAGCAGAAAGAATACTATTGCTGTAAAGTGAACCTCGCCTCCTATTGAACTCCATTCGTGTTGTTTTGGACACAACTCTCAGCGCAAGATAATTGTAGTATCTACTGCTGCGTGTGTGAATGCCACCTCAGACTGTAGTCTCATGCGTGTTTCTTATTGATTGGCGTCCTCCAAGTCGGTCTGTTCCCAGAGATTCATCGCGGCCTGTCGTAGTGCTGCAATGTGAGAGTTTCAGAGACGACCGGTACGTTCTGCATGAGACTGCGGGAACATGATCCTCATTTGTGTTTGTGTTGCCTTCCGACCGGCCTTTTCCAAAAATTCAAATAAGCTCACGTTGTCGTTCATTGTCGANTATTGATTGGCGTCCTCCAAGTCGGTCTGTTCCCAGAGATTCATCGCGGCCTGTAGTAGTGCTGCAATGTGAGAGTTTCAAAGACGACAGGAGGTACGTTCTGCATGAGACTGCGGAAACATGATCCTCATGTGTGCGTATGTTCCCCGCCGACTGGCCTTTTCCAAAAATTCAAACAAGCTCACGTTTGTCGTTCATTGTCGATCCGCCCATGATGTCCTTGGTCAACCACGTGGGCATCTCAACCTGAAGTACATCCTTGAGGTACCTCAGGAAGGCTGGCACGGTGAAGCTTCGGTAGTTATCCCTCGTGCATTTCTCTCTGCCCTCCTTTCCCATGGAGCCGTTCGCGCGCTTGGTCACGGAGCACGCGTACCAGATGGTCGCGTTACGTTTTTGGCTGTCGCCTTGTCGCAACCGAGTATCGACCGCAGCAGCGCATCGGAGTAGTTGTTCGCGCCTTGCAGCAGCAGTGGTTCCACTAGCGGCATGATGTTGCGTGGTTTGACTACAAGCTGGGCCAGGCTAAAAGCTCACTTTCGTTCGTTCGAGTGTCATTCTGTCGTTTCCGCGAATTTGTGCTTGACATTTTTTGGCTGCTCTCACGAGACAGTATGGAAAGCGCAGGTGCCAGAATTTTTCGAATCTGAGTTGATTAAGGTAACCATCAGTTGGCGGCGCCGGGGGGGATACTTCCGGTACTGAAATCAGCGTAAAAAAAGTTGCACCGAATAAGCTGAAATTTGGTGTGCACTTACCCGGGAGCAGTGCGAGAAAAATGATGATTGTTACAAGGCTCAAATCATCTTCTACCAAGAG